AAACACATCTCCTCCGTAATCGGATCCAGCTTCTATCAGCTTTGTCTAGTGTCTAAAATCAAAGACTCTCTCACTCCCAAAACTCTAGAAACTAATGTTCATGCATTTTTTATGTCTCAGCTAGCTTACTGCAACTCTTTATATTGTGGTATATCTAAGTCTCAAATTGCTCGCCTTCAGCTAGTCCAAAATGCTGCGGCCAGACTTCTTTACAAGTGTCGCAAACATGAACATATCACTCCAATCCTCAGATCTCTCCACTGGTTGCCGGTTCACCAGAGAATAGACTTTAAATATTCTCCTTTTTGTTTATAAAAGGATATCTTCATAATCTAGCTCCTGTCTACCTCTCTGAACTTTTTCATACATACACTTTGTACAGAAACCTAAGATCATGCGACCATGCTCTGCTGGTTGTCCCTCACTCTAGACTCAAGTGTAGAGGGGAGCATGCATTTGCGGTGGCAGGGCCACGACTTTGGTACACCCTGCCTTTAGAGATTAGAACGGCCCCTTCTCTGTCTGCTTTAAAGTTCTTTTTTAAAACATATTTGTTTTCCCTTGTATATTGAATTGAGTTTTAAGTTCTGTTTTGGTCCTCCTGCTATATGGTAATTCTTAAAATGTTGTTCTGCTGTCTGGTCTGTTTTTATGCATGTCATATCTTATTTATTTTTTGTATGTTATATTCTCCTCTAATCTTGCTCCTCTGGTAAGCACTTTGGTTAGCCTAGTGGCTGTTGTAAATGTGATATATAAATACAATGAACTTGAACATTAGTCACATTTGTAACCACAGAACCCATTTTGGTAACCAATTAACAAGTAATTAATTGGTTCACATTATAAAATGTTATATTGAATTCTGTTGTCATAAAAAGTAAAATTAAAAAAAGATGCAATTATCTTAAATTTATCTATTTCATCCCAACAAATGTCTGTTAATAAAATAAAGACCAACTGATCTTTTTTTTTTGTTTTGTTTTCTACTGGTTACAACTGTGATCAAGAATGAAGCACATACTTCAACACATACTTTAAAGCTTAAAAATAAAGTTATTTATGAAAAGTCATGCTTTTAAAGTTATATATATAAAAAAAAGACATGGTCAAATTTTTTTATTTGACTCATTTCTTCAGTTATGTACAATGATTACCACTTGCATGTACATGTTAATCTTTCAGGTTGTAATCTCTAAAATGCTTGTGTATGGAACTACTCCCTTATGCAACGGATTAAGCACAGAAACAGTCAAAACCACCAACAACAGTACAAAAGAATGTGGCATGGAAAAGATATACAACTCAGTGTTTGCCCTAGGTTTACGGCTTTGGGGTAATTTAATTCCTTTTTAATGGTTAAACTACATTTTATTAATCAAAAAGCATGTCTAATTAATTAAAATCATGAAACAAACAATTTAACAAATTTATTAAACGTTTAACAAATGCGCCGTTCATTAACACAGAGACACGCAGAATTCATATTTAAATACGAATCAGAGTGGGCTTACTTGTGTGTGTGTGTGTGTGTGTGTGTGAGTGCGCGCATCGGGCGGAACTCCGCTGTGCGTGATACAGAGAGCGCGACCATAACGTAGAGACTGAAATGACATGCCGTCGTGTAAATAAGATAAATAACATAAGGCTATTTAGTTTGCTTAATGAAAGAACAAGGTATAGACATGTTCTATAAGAAAGGTAACTTTAAATGACTTCTGTTGTGATCTGGCGCTATAGAGAAAATATAATTAAATAAAATTAACTTGACCTTCAAGGGGGGTGGGGGGTGCCGTTGGGGAGGGCGGGCCGGGCCACCCCCCTAAAATAATGGCAGGGGAAACACTGCAACTGTAGTATGATCAACAAACCTTTTTCGTACTCTATAACAGTGCAATTAATGAAAATGATAATCAACAACCTTAAATATGTCAACAAGTCAAAATAAAGAATTCAACAATGCTGCATCAAAATTACATTGGCTCTGATAATTATATAATTAAACAATATTATATAAAAAGCGTTATTGCAGAGAGTTTTTGTTAATATCTTGGGCAGCTATTAGGGTTGCCAATCAATTAAATATTTAACTGCAATTCTTTTCTTTTTTTTCAATTAACACATTTAGTTTCTTATTAAGGAAAGCTATGATATAATGTGTGACATGAATATACCTGCAGTGCACAGGCAACCTCGTTCACAGGTAGTTCACTGGCTTTTTTCGAAGTCAGTACTGGAACCATGGTCTCATTTTCACAGTGGGGTTGACACTCGGAAAGCTGAAAAAAGAAAAGATAAAAAATAAACTTATTTTAAACAGATTAAAACAAAACATCAACAGAGGAGGATGTTAGCATCCTGGCTAAATTTAATAACCCATGCAATTTAAAAAGGTTCCAACTTTGGAGGTAATCCCAATCAAAGATTACTAATCTCTCCTCATAAAAACAAAACATGAGTGCAATTGTACAAAAGGATTACAGACCCAGAAGGAACTTTGACCCATTCAATGCTGTACAGGGAAACAACAAACACATCTAGGCAAAGTAGCTCCTGTAAAATCATCTGACACCTTCTCAATTTGCATAGACTTACTTTCAGCTACAAAAAATGTATTAGCGCAATCCACGGCTGTGCCTCAGTCTGACTGGAAGAAGATCGTCCAAAAGTAATAATGGAGCCCAGCAGATGGATTGGAAAGCATTAGGGAACAGAATGACATTAAACTCTAGATGGTCATGAACATCAGGTTAAGTCTCAAAGAGCACAAGATGAAAATCCATGCAATATCCTATCCCAATTGCTTTGCTGGATATTGATCTGGTCAGCTAGCAATAAATCTTTCAATGATTTTTTTCAACACCATCTGCCAATCAAACCTATAAACAAGCATACAGAGATGAAAAACATAGGCTAAATAAACTACATTTTCAAATTTTCTTAAGAAAATGTGAGAGATCCTTCTTGTCGCAGGTGGTTGCTAAGGTGTTCTGGGTGGTTACTTGCTGACTCAAGTCAAAAGACAGACCAATTCAATGTACAGTTCAAATGTGCGGGGTCAATACGATTTTTTATGAATACTTTTCAATATTCAAATATATTCTATCGTGAGCATAAGACACTTCTTTAAAAAAAACATGTAAGCATCTTACTGACCCTAAACTTTTTTTAAAGGTAGTGTGAGTCTATGGGATTTTTAGAAAGTAGCAAAGCTCTTCTAAAGTATAAGCAAAAGTAATAATTTTAATAGTGGCCAGGAACTACTTTCAGACTGTCAGTTTGTTTTCCAATTTTAGGAAGTTTTGGCCAATGGTTTATGTTTACTGTAACTTGTTACTGGTAAATTAAATGTTAATGAGTTAATGAAATGTAGATATATTCTTGGGTCATTCAGAATTACCCAAGGTTAAATGCTCAGAGACTTTATATTAGAATGCTATGCTTTAAACAAACTAGGTTACAATGGAAAGAACAAATCATTCCAGATAGTTCTTTAAATTTTTAGGCACAACATGCAAATATAAACAAAATCCTGCTGTGACTAGATTTCAGGACACGGCCGCAAAACATACCAGACAGACAATAGGCTATAGGCTGAGAATGAGAATGAGCTGAGTTACTCTCAGGATGGATGTCATTGGCGGGTATCATTCAGAGTGATGCCCTTCTTGAAAGACGACAGAGAGAAAAAGACAGAAGAAAGCTACAGAGAAATAGAAAATTGGGGCTACCTTTTGTAGTCTGTATCATGTTACGCATCAGATCCAGCATGAATCTTACAGTGCCCCATACATCAGTTTAGCATCTTGAAGTGTTACACCGTATTCTTCCTGCACTATCACTCCAGCGTAAAGACAAAAGAAAGTATCTTATCGAAGATCTAGCGTGTCTGACCCTGAGCGGATTCCCATAATTAAGAGTGGCAACAGCTTAAACCTGGATGAGCCAATCCCACGTTGTCACCTCTCTCTGAACAGACTCTTTATACTAATGAATGAGTGCTATTCTGAGCTATCCGGGTCAATTTACGAAATTAGTATTGTGCCACGGTTAAGTTTTGTACTGTACAAATAATGTATAAATTGCGTCCATACTCAGAAACTGAATCAGTCTGCTGTCACTGGCTAAAAAATATTATTACAGCGTTTACCTGTCTAACCTGGGAAAAACTGTATCGTTACTGCTGTACACTACCGTTCAAAAGTTTAAAGTTGGTAAGATGTTTCTGAAAGTCTCTTATGTTCACCAAGGCTGTAATATTTGATCAAAAATACAGTAAAGACAGTAACATTGTGAAATATTATTGCAATGTTATATATCTGTAATATTATTATATTATATATCTGCTTTCTACGTTATACATTTTAAAATATAATTTATTCCTGTGATGGCAAAGCTAAATTTTCAGTTTGAAAACAAATGCAAATTGGACTTGTTGGAGAATTGGAGAATATTAAATGAATGCCTTAAACTTAGTTCCTCACACAAAGCAATTGTATAGTATCAGATAGGGTTGTAACGGTATGAGATTTTCACAGTAAGATAATCGTCTCAGAAAAGATCACGGCTTCGCGGTTATCACGGTATATATTAAACAATAATTCTGATCAGTAACAATGACTCTTAAAAGAACAAGAACAAGTTATTTGAGTGAACAAATCCTTTATTACAACAAACTTGAAACCATTTTAATGAAAGTATTGAAGTCTCCCTTCTAAAAAAATAAATAACAATAAAAAAAGAATGGTGTACATCTTATGTATATCTATATCTTACTTTAACATTTTAATTAATGTTTTTAAATGTTTTAAATTAACATTTACTACTCCTTTTATTTTTGGCAAAGTTAAAACATGGACAAACATGATATTCCTTGAAAACAATGTTTAAATAAATTATTTTATTATAAAGAATATTATTGTTGTTATTATAACTTTGAAGTACATTGTACAATGCT